ATTAAAAATAGACATTTACCACAAATTATAGGTATCTTATATTATTAGATACCTTATTCTAAAACATATTTTAGTTAAGGAGTTCTTGATACTTCAAGTGCAAAATGATGATATAAAACCATGATAAAAATGCACTTTTAAGTACTAATCAGGGACTTAATTAGAGAAATAGCAAAGTTTGTGGTTAATTAAGGGCACAATTGCAAATAGATTAAAGTTCAAGAACTAACTTCTAAAAGTTGCTGAAATGTAGGGGTCCAATTACAATTTAACTAGGGGCTTAATTACAAAACTTTCCAAAATTCAAGGTCCAAAATGAAAGTTGCCATTTCCAGTTGTGAACGATGCCATTTCTAAATCAAATGCTCCACCTTCTTTGTTGCTTAAGATTGTTTTAGCAGGAGATCTTTAACTGCAGATCGTGGGATGTATGGACAAATATGGCTCACCCCCAAAAATGATTACCAAGTTCACAAGATGCTCAAGGGATGATAATATCTTCCCTTTAGCATAACCAGTCTCATATTATATAAACTCTATTGACCAGTTAGGTTTCCTAGTAATCATAATACTAGGTGGCAACTCTTTAAATAATACTATTCCCCGTCAAAGAATAAGATACTAAAAATCTGTTTTTTTAAGACTAATTTTTAAGGTCGTCTCGATGTTCGGGTGAGACACCTATGATTAAGAGATTTAAAGGTACCTAGAATGAATTCTAATGTTGGAACCTAGTGCTATAGATTGTCATAAAATTTTATGCGGTCCACTTCATATTAAAGACGTTTTCTTAGCTCTAGTTCCTTGACCTAATCATTATAGACCTAGAACATATGATGGACAAAGGAGTAATGAAACTTAAAGTTTATGATGAGCATTCATCCTGGGTATCTATCATATTGCAAAGGGAGGCAATATATTTTAGATATGTACAATCCTTATTATTTTACTCAACAATATATGTTTGGACAAAGACTTTCAAATACTCCAATCCTTCCATCATTTCTTATTAATATATCCTTTTTGTACCAAACTTGGCTTTCTCTTACAAGGCAAGGGAATGGTGCAACATTCCATGTCCTAAAAGTTAACAACTCAACATCCTTAAAAGTTGATCCGATTTACATAGTTAAGTAGGATAACTAATTGTTTCCTTAATTCATCAGTATTCCCATGAAAGTCCTTTTTTTAAAGTGAAAAGAACAACTTCGTTTTGAATTTGAGTAACAAGACTTAATAATATTAAGAGGAAAGGAAAAGGCTCCCTCTAAAATAGTTATATCACCACCTTCCTTTCAAAATCATGGTCGTTCTAAGCCATAAAAATGATCCTCTATAAATAAAACTCGGGAAAATAGCTCTTCATTTCAGATATCCAATCAACATAAGACAAGAAGTGAAAAAAAATGGTTTAAATCCCTTTCCTACTCCTTATTATCCTAAAAAGGTGGGAAATTCTTCTACTATGACACTTATTATAGATCATGATAACACTCCTCCTCATATTTATATCACCCTAGGTATAGTATTGGGGATAAGAATTTTGATCTTTCGCTTCCACTATCGTCTCTTAAAGAGGTGGTTGATTTTTCCACAGCTGTTTTTGGCTTTTGATAAAGGTCTTTCTCTTTCTTTCTTTTTTTCTAATGTATATTTTATACTTATCCAAGCTAATTCCAACCTTTTTTTTAAATCATTTCAGAGATTCAAGATTCAAATCTTCTAGTTAGGTTAGATAATATCTCTAAGGTGATTATAGCACTTCCAAAATCTTCTACCACACCTTTAGCTCCTTATGAGTGTTATTCTAACAACATTAATAGGGGGATTTTGGATTCAAATTATAGTGCCAATGAAACTAAAGATGATGGAAAATAAGAGGTAACTTCTAAGCTTTATAAACATGATATTATGTCTCAAATGCTTGTATTTGTTTCACAACCCAAGTCAATACCTTTTTTTTTTTTTTCATGTTTGGCCCTCCTATGCCTTTTTTTATGATATTATGAGTTCTATCATTTTAGTTGGATTATAAGAGTTTTTGAAATAAAGATCTAAAACATGCTTTACTTGATGGATTCTCCTTTCTCAGATATTGGTGAACCTCTAAATCATCCAAACTTATTGAAAACTTAAAGTAATTACATGTTGATCATATAGCTTTAATGGGTATAATGGAGATGTTTTTTTTAAGAATATGGATTCTTATTTGTTACTTTGTCAGGAAATTAGCCAAAGTATGAAAATCACTACTTATAGATATAATATATTCTTGTTTAAAGGTAAAAGTGATTTGTCACAACTTGAACTGCATGAGACCACCAATCAAATAAAATCAATAGATGAGAAGATTTCAAGACTGCTGATTGGTACTTAAAAGTGTATTTTTATCAAAAGCAAAAGAAATCTTAAGGAAACATTGCATGCATTCATTGAAAAGCAAAAGACTATCAATACTCAACTTGCTCAAAGCATGATAGATTTTAAAGATACTCTTGCAAAATTGACATCTGCACTTAGTTTTCAAGAGAAAGGTGAGTTTCCATCTCAACTACAATAAAATCTCAAGGGGCAATACAATGCAAGTACAAGTAGTTTTGGAAGCCAACACCTATCATATCAGTCACTACTCTTTGTAGTGGTAAGGTTATTAAAAAACTCACTCTTGAACCTTGTGAAAAAGATTATGAGTCATTCTTTGAGGATAAAGAACGGGTTGAATCTGAAAATTACAAAGAAAAGATTGATTCCCTGTCAGCACTTCCATTTCCTCATACCATGACCAAACAAAGAAAAGTCAATCACAACTCTGAAATCTTTAAAACTTTCAAACAGGTAAGGATCAATATACCTTTGCTGGATACTATTAAACAATTCTAGAAGTCCAAATGACCTCTCTCTTTTTTTTTAGAAAAACTAAGATAATTTCTCAGAACTTTCATATAGAGGTCTGGTTGAAATTATGACGTTATAAATGACGTTTTATTCAAACAAGAGAAGATAAGGATTATCACCAAGTCAAGAGTTAGCCACCCACTCATTAATTAGTCATCAAATCAATAGCTTTCAATTTTGTCCTATAAAGGAGGCATTTGTCATGTATTTAGACATCTTGGTGTCCAGATCAAAATCATGCTTTTACTTTTTCTCTTTGTATTTTTTGTATTGTTTATGTTTTGCTTTCATTAATATCTTGTTTATGCCTTTCCTTTCCTTTCCTTTACTTAGTTAACTTTTATCTTATTTATGTTCTTATTTTGTTTATTTATTTTTTTTTCTTTCATTATGTTCAGTTAAGTTTATTATGTCAAGGTGAAAAGGTTACACTAATGGTGTAAGAATAAATATAGTGTAAACTCATCATGGATCTTAATGTCTGATACTAACATGTTTTGTATTTGTTATTTTATTCACTCTTTAATACTTTACTTGATAAATGACTAATCTCGTTTTATATTGTATAACAATTGGTACAGCAAATGCTTGGCACTTTCATAGCACAAACTGTATGGTATAACCGACATATGTGCTATGAAAGAAACTTGATTTGTTGTTAACATAAATTATAATCATGAATGTCTGACAGTATTTATAAGTATTAGCAATAATCAAATAAAATAATCAATCTAATCATGTTAACAATTTGTAATCTAATTGGAACTTACTTTGTGTGTGATTTTCAATTGAATAATAAGAGTTTATACTATACTTGTTTAACATACCATTAGTGGATCCTCTAACCTTGATATTTGTTGTTATCATTGTTTAATCCTTACATTAATCTTCCATCTTAAAATTCTCTTCTTCTTCTTTTTCTTCTTCTTCTAGTATTACTACTACTACTACTACTACTACTACTATTGTTGTTGTTATTGTTGTTATATTGATATTATTTATAATTTATACAATTAACCTTCTTGTGGTTCGACCCCGGTCTTGTCAGGTTATTTAATACTTTGACACTCTTCAACTTGAGAGAAGACATCAATCTTTTGGTTGTATCACTCATGTATGGGCCTGCCTTTATAGACTCGTACGACTAGGCCTTTATTTTTATTTTTTATGCAATTGGGGCAGATCAATTTTTTTTTAAAAAAAAACAAATGATATGTTGCTTGCCAAGGCAAACGACATGTTGTCTGCTTTGTCTAGATTGTGACTACTATGGTGTTAGGAAAATTAAGGATCAAGTTTTTTTGATACAAAAACCTATTTTCAACTCATTTTGACCTAAAACATAGTAACAACCGTGAGTGACCTATCTATGGTCTAGAAAAACCCAAAAAACCGCCTAAATAAAAAATCAACCTGAGTTCAAATATATTGTTTTTACAAAATTTAAAGGTAAAAAAACACCTAAAATAAATTCTCCTCATTAAATGAAACCATTAGACACAAATATCATTAATTTTATAGTTTAAATCAGTATCAATAACATTTTTCTTTCACTACTACTTGAACTTGACGATCTCTTTTTCTCCTCTCTCAACCAAGGATTAAAAAATAATAAAAATAAAATTTTATACTAAAATTAAATTAAAAAATATTAAAATATTAAAATTATATAATTTATGTGATCTTTAAAGTTCAAGAATCAAAGTGCATTAACGAAACTTATATCACGTCATCCATATTTGAAATATTTTTTATTTCAATTTATTTTTTTAATTTATAAAAAATTAAAATCAATTAGATTTCAATTAAAACTAAATTACTAAAAAAAATTGAAAACCGAAAAAAAAGAAGCGTAACCCATCCTAAATAATATGTATAAGAATAAACAATGAATTCTTGTATAGTTAAAAGAACTTTCGCATTTTAAAATTACACGTAATATGGATAATCAAGTCTAGTGACATCCAGTCATATAAACAAGGGTGCCAACAAATCCTCACGTGTCAATCTTCGATTTGCTATAAAAATAAGGGTAGAAAGGTAACTTTAAAATCACACGCGATATTTATTATTAATAAACATAAAATTGCCGAAAAAGTAAAAACAAAAGAAGCAGAGGGGAAAAAAACGTACGGCATTGGCGAACCTTCTTCCTTCTAGATTCCTTTCCTTCTCCAATCCAATCCAGGGGAAGCCCTCCTCACGCACACTCTCACATGATATTCTTCAATTTCTTTCCTCTTCCCCTAGATAAAACAAACACATATTTATCATTATGCATACACATTCATTGAATTTGAAGATTTTATTTTAGTTTGATCTTCAGATCTATGTAAAGAAGAGATTGCTTTTGAGTTTGGTTGAGAAGACACTGGAGGCAGCGGTTCATCGATCTTTTCCTGAAGACTTTTTTGTTTTACACGAAAAACACGAACCGATCGATAAACCTCTGCATCCAGTGCTTCCCTTACTCCACTTTTTTTTTTCTTTTAATTTTTTTCTCTTTCTAAACAAAACAAAACAGTTTGTTTTAGAAAATTGTATTGTTTGCTAGCATCGTAAAATCATAATTTTATATATATATATATATATATAATTTAGATTTGTGAGAGGCTGGTTAGTTACAGGGAAAGCAAATGCAACAAAGCCTTATCGTTTTCCAGTCGCGGCCTTGACCCGCAGACGGTATTTTTTATTTCTTCCATCGTTAATTTAATTATCTTGCTTACACTGCGACTTGATTTGATTTTGATGTTGACTTTGCTGTTGCACTCTTTACCTCGGTGGAAAAAATAGTACAAAGAATGAATTTTATGATGTATGTATTTGTTTTATTATTATTTCTTTGAAGATTTTGTTGTTTTACAGTAACGATGCAAGTTTTCCAGGAAATGATGTTAAGAGTTTGTTTGGCATGATTTTTTATTCGGATTATAATTTAGGATTATTTTTATATATAATTTTTTTATATAAAAATGAGTTATAATATTTTAATTTAAAACATATTTGATAAAAATAAATCAAAGCAAACTTTTTGTGAAAAATAATATATTATATTATAAATTATAAGCTAAAAAATTTGACTAAGTTGAATAATAAACTTTTAATTTAAATAAAAATTATTTTTAACCAAATATGTTTATAACTTTTCTTTGAAAAAAAAATTAAAAAAAAAAACTGAACTTCCGTTATACTACACATTACCGTTATAAAAAAACTAGCTTCTAGTTGCTCTATGAATTTTATTTTGTTAAATTAGCAAAACTGATATGAGTTATCTAATATAGCTTGGAAGAAATTAATAATGATGGTGTATACACTCACTTGATTAATGTTAAATTGTACATAATTTAAATTCATCTCTGCTGGACTTTCTCAGTGAATTGGCTGGTTAAAGCTTATTTTGAAGTTAATGTTACCTGTCTCTAGATTGTGGGATTGTGGGATTGATGCTCCTATTTTATGTTTGTTTTAATTTTTTTTTTTATTAACGTGGATGTCTGGGTTAGCTTACGCGCACCATGACTAATCCCACGGCTCACTGAATATCCTACAAGTCCAGTGAGTAGGTAAGGTATTGCGGGGGTGACAGACATATCACACAGAGAGACCACACAAAGAGAACTTAGTAGAGACACAAAAAAAATAACTCTTCAACCCCATTCTTACTATAACTCGAATTAAAATTCAAAAAAAAAAGAGCTGCTCCAATAATCACTGAGCCACAATCCCGTTGATCAATCTTTCGTTTTTTATTTTGCCTTGTCATGTTTAAAGCAATTATCTTCACTGTTTTTATTGATGCTGGTTTTTTTTTTTTTCTTTTTCATTGTTATTACTTAGCTATTAATTCAGAGGAGAATGGTTACTCTGGCTTTCATTATTTTTGCCCTAATTCTGGAAATTGTTAGTTTTGGGGTTCAGTTCCTAAAGGTCTAGTGTCTTTCAAAATAGTTTGTGCTCGGGCAGTTCTATTTCCACGCGCAAGGGGCTAGGTGGGGTCATTTTATGTTATCCTATAGATGGTAGTCGAAAAAATAGAGGATTAAAATTTCTGTGGAGAATGTACTCACCATTTTGACTTATTTTCTGTAAATCACTGGCTTTTATTTTTTGGTGACTTGTGGTCCCACGGGTATTTTTTATTATTTCGCAGGAAAGCAATTCTGTCATCAGTAGCCTTTCTGGTGTACTTTTCCTGTAGTATGTTTGGCTAGTTGATATTAAGTCTCCGTTTGGCGTTTGTTGGATGTTGTATTTGTGGTTTAGAAAAGATAGATTAAAAAAATATTTTTATGTCTAATTAAAATTATTATGAAATAAATTTTTATATGTAAAATAAATAAAAATAAGTTTCTATTAATAAAACATAAAAAAATAAAGTTTTGAAATACAATCAATCGGTTTTTTCTCTTGAATAAAAAGTAGAAACTAAAGAAATTTAATTTTTTTTTAATTTTTTTTTCAAATTGTTTCTTGCTAGAAAAAAAATAAATTAATATTTTTTATATATTTTCTAAAGATTTTGATATTTTAATTTTAAAAATAAAAAAATTCAAAAAATTGTTATTTTAATATTGAAATCACTAATTACAGGCTGAAAGGTAAAGCATCCTGATCTATGGTTATGCCAGCTGTTCATGTCTTTTGTATAGATGTGGAAAATGTTCATATCTCAACTCTTTTCTTAGGCACAATCACCCATCACCATTGATTGGAGAATTGAAAACTGGCTAGATTTAGTCCCGAAAATTGATAGTGTATTTTGCTTAGGTTTTCTGATTCTAGAAATGGCATCTGATGGAAGAAGTAATGGGAGTTACTAGTCCTGAGTATTGATTTAAATGATATGGTTTCAACCAAAAAACCAGCTAAACTATTTTTCATTCTGCTAATTTTGAATCGTGCTGAACGAAAAAACTAAATTAATTGGTTCAGTGTAGTTTTATATTCATTAAAATTGATTACATCCTATTTGAATTAATAAATCTTTAATTGGGCTCTTTTTGAAAGGTTTTGATTTAATGAGTTTTTTGTTTATAATGATTTATTTTTATTTGACCAGCTTTGGTTGGGTCTTAAAATTCGGATTTTATAATTTGAAATTAAATCAAATTATTTTTTTAATCTTTTAACAAAAGTTATTCAACAATTTTGAAAACTATTTGGTTCATTAATTTTAGGATAATTTTTATAGATATTTCAAATAATTTAATTAATTTGTTCACCTCTAAAAATTATTTAAGTATTAATTATGCATGGTTATAAGACTCAGATCAATTTATTATGACCCATTTTAAAACTTGTTTCATAGGATAGTGAATCAATTTGTAAGCATTAACTTGCATCTATTATTTTTTTTATTATTATTTTTGTTTAAAACCATTGTTTTGGACAAATTGTTAAAAATAATTAAAGTGATCATATTTTGAACAACAATAATGTTTTTTTATTATTAAGTTTTATTTGAGTTTGGCTAGATTAACTTTTTATGTTGTTTAATATTATATTTATCATGAGTTAGGTTCTAGTTTTGATACTAAAAAAGTGATTAAAAATGTGATTAGCAATGATTTTTAAAAAAATTTGATTTATTTTGTTTACAATTATTTATTATGTTTTTTTTATTGTTTAGATTTGTTGATATAAAAAATAAATTTAAAAAATAAAAAATTATTATTTAGATGCCTTTTCAATTTGAAAATATTTTAAAAAACAATTAAAACAAAAAAATATTTTTAAAAAATAATTAGTAAATAAATATTAAATTATATGTCACCTTCTTTTTTTTCTTTTTTTTTCCCCTTAGCACGTAGTGGAAAAGTTGTTGCTTGTTCCTTTCCTTGGTAAAGGGAGAAAAAGGTATATTTGAAAGAAGTTTCCAAGTGGGGAGACGTCATTGCTGCCTGAAAGCAAAGGAAAAATTCAGTCATGGAGTACCAAGTTGGTAGAGAATCTGCTAAAATGATGTGTACTTGTGGAATCTGGTATCAAATTCCTTGTACAAAACTAGAATGGAAATCAATTCTAGAATACTAATGATTCTATGATCTGCAAGGTGGACCAACCAAAGAAAAAATCATGGTAACGGGAGCATAACCATCAACTCAAAAGAAAGGAAAGAATCCTGGGAGCTGGAAGCTGGAAGCTTAAGCAAGCTAAGGATATTCTGAAGTTTTGTTGCTTATTCTGATATATTGGTCTAAAAATCTGAAAGTGGATTTTTTTTAATACAATTAATTCCCTTACCTCTTACTGTCAATTCCATTTTTAGTTACTCGGTTTGACTGGTATAAAAGAATTCTCATGCCCCTTTCATTTCATGGTCCAAGTGGCTTCCTGCTCCATAACAGATACGATGCATTACCCAATTCTGTCAACCCACTAACGAAAACTTTGTTCCTGGTGCTTTTGTAATAATGATTCCTTCCCACAGTTTTCCTGAATGCTCCTGAAATGCTTCACAAAGGGTTGGGAATTCGTCCCCATCTTAATGTGTCATGCTTCACAAAACTTTGATTTTGGTTTTTTTATATAAGAATAGTTATATTCTTTATGAGTTTTAAATTTTTTGGTGGAAAAATTCATTTTTAATAAATGAACGCATTTTTTAATTTTTTATTCCAAAAAGAAAAAGAAACGTTGTTTCGGTTACTTAACACGCTCTTAATAATTCAAGCTTGAAGAAAAAAAATATAATAAAAATATTTCTGGAGTTAATTTTCTTACACTGATTTTTTTTTTTAAAAAAATATGGTGATAAACAAGGCACAGGGTACCCCATCCACATCTGGCGCGTTATGAAAATTTTTTAATCCTTTTGTCTTCTTTAAGATTTAATTAATTATTTTTTGTCTTGTTATCTAAAGATTTAACCGGAGTGGACCCAATCCTTCTTCTCCTCGCTCCGACTTTTTCACAGCTCCTCACGCTCGGAGCAGGGCGTCGCAGAATACGATTTTTCCTTCTCCGATTTATATTCATCTTGTTCAGTGTATCACCCATTTGTTGCCTGTTCTATTTGATCAGTAACTTTTACTTTTTAAAAACACAATACAAGCCCATGTTGAAATATTTTTTATTTTTTTATATAAGTTACTAAAAAAAAAATAATTGCTTCTAATAGTTAAGTTCGGTTGTCTGTCCTTATACTTTGGAAGGAATCTAAAAGGCTCCTAAAAGGGTAGAATGAATATAATTAAAATTTCATGATTTCGTGAAGCTCACCACTGAAGCTAAATGAATATAATTAAAATTTCATGATTTTGTGAAGCTCACCACTGAAGCTAATCTGTTTCATTTTACATAACATAACATAACGCTCACAAAAATCTAACTGAAATATACTTTTACCATAACAATTATTTTTACTTAAATATACTCGTTCTTTTCTCAATTATATACCATAATCTCGTATGACACAACTTGATTACGTTTGAATATAAAAAGAAAGACGAGAAAAGTACATCTACAATCAATATAATAAACTAGTGCATGTGCATCTTCTCGATCTCACAACTTCATTTTTATGATTGTTTGTTTTTGTATTTTAAAAATATTTTTAAAAAATTTAAATATTTTTATTTTTTTATTAATTTTAAATTAATATATTTTTAGTATTTTCAAATCATTTTGATGTGTTGATGTCAAAAATAATTTTTAAAAAATAAAAAAACATTGTTGACATGCATTTTTACACAAAAAATTATTTAAAAAGCAATAGTAACCACACTTCCAAACAAGCTCTTAGTAGATAACTTGTAACCCCTTCTTATCAAAAACATGAACGTATCTAAGTGTCCTCACTGTTCCATCATGCATTATGATTTAACTTGTCTCAATTCTAGAAATCTTGAGATAGAGTGACCACCTAGTGATAAAAAAAACCTCTATTAAGAGACTAATATGTGAAGAACCGACTTTTATTAAGTAATGTGAAATGAACAATATTATAGTATATATGTTTTATTGTCAATTATAGTTGGTTATATATAATAGTAATTTTGTTCTTGCGAAATATATTTATAATTAATAAAGATTTTTTTAATTTTTAATGATCATTTATTATTTATTAATAAAGCTAATGTTTTATTAATGAATTTAAGGTAAAGATAAAGTCATCAAAGTAAAAATATTTTGTAAAAAAATTATTAATTTTTTATAATTATTAGATTCTTATTATATTAAAGTAATGCTCCTAAATGTTCTTGTTTAATGCACCATAAAGACTAAAAATTAACTTGGGTTATTGAGATTATTACATATTAACATATTATATTTTTTTCTTTAAAGAAGTATGTGTTCTCATAATCTAATATATTAGGAATACTTAGAACTAATGTCTTGTTAGATGACATGTATACTAAACTAATTTTCATGAAAATTCTATATGGAGAGATCATATGTGTACATGAAAAAGTTTACGTGAAAGTTGTATAAGTGATCTTCAAATTTGAGATCACTAAGTTATCTTATAGAGGAAATATTATTCTATAATCATGATTATTTATTTTCCTAATTAAAGGTAACAAATGAGCAGACATTGAGTATAACATGAGTTATATAAAAGTATTTCAGTGATCAAAAGATGATTCATCATTCTTGTTGCAGTTGACATCATGGAAAAATTTTTTTAGAAAAAAAGGTTCTTTTATGTTTAGAAAATGGGGTAAAAATAAAAAGATAAGTCACCACCTAGTATTATAATTACAAGAAAATCCTAATTGGCCAACAGAGAACATAGAGTTACGGTAAGGGATTGATTATTCTAGAGGAAAGATACTATCATCATGAAGCATTATACCCAAGGTAAGCTGTAACGACTCGGCTTTTTCAAGGCTAAAATTGCTGGAATTTTTTTTAAAAATCTTTCAGTTTCTGGATTTTTTCACCATACCATTCTTTAAATTTATCATTGCATTATGTTCATTAACAAGGCATAATTTATGTAGGATAATGTAAATCAACATTTCCATAGAATGAATTCTCAATTCACATGCCTATAATATTATATTTCCATACTTATAGTTTGCAAAGTATTAAAGAGTGAATAAGATAACAAATACAAAATATGTTAACATCAAACATTAAAATCTATATTGAGTTTACACTATACTTATTGTTGCATCATTCGTGTAACCTTTTCACCTTGACATAATAAACTTAGCTAAATATAATGAAAGAGAAACATAAATAAACAA